TCACTAAATTCTCGTCAATATATGTCTTGAGTTCAGCCATCTCATCTTGCGATAAATTGTAAATTGGTCCAAATGGTGGCTGAGTTCCTTCCTTGAGGTCGATTGAACAATCATATGGGTGATGCTCAGGAAGAATATCTGCATTCTTTTTCTCAAAAACGTCTTGATACTCCTGATATTGACTTGGAATGCCACTTGAAGTCTTTACGTTTTCAGAAATAGGTGCAGCATAAATAGCAAAAGTTGATCCTTCTTTTGCTGCGTGTATAAATGCTTTTGCACCTATCAGTACGGGTTTTACTGTACTAGACTTATAATTTTTTACTTGGTTCGTAGAACTATTAATAACGCTTTTGGAAAAGTTAAGTTTACGCGAATTCCAATCTATTCGAGGGTTATATTTTTCTAGCCAGGATAAACCTAAAATAACTGGATTAGACGGGGATTTAATTATGTTAAAAGCTATGTAGCTATCATGACCGTCTATTGTTACTTTTATAGGATGAGTTTCATCTAAAAAACATGCTGAGGCTCCCGAATCTAATAAAGCAGAGGCTTTGTAATTCTTAGGTCCTAAATATAAGTCTATTATAAAACAAGGAGAGGGTTCTGAGGAGAGGATAGGACCTTCATTAGGAATTGTACAAGGTTCCAGCTGCATGGTCCCTATTGTAGCTGGACGAATCCGTTTTCCGACATGTTGTCTTCTTTGACCGTCGTATCCCTCATTTTATAGTTGCGGCATTTCTTTGGACAATGTTGAGCAGTGTGTTTAGGTTCTCCGCAATATAAACATAATCCTTCTTGACGACGACGAATCTTTTCTTGTCCAGTTAGGGGTTTAAAACGTACCGCGTCAATTTGCATGTCTTCTACTTCCGAATGTACGTTTGGCAAAGATGTTGATGTTGCCATTGAGTAATAACGTTGAGGTTCCCGTGAATGATTCTCAGATCGAAATTCAAAAAGTCGATTATCACATTTTACCGCAAAATCGATTGCTTGACTCAAAGTTTGAGGATCAGGTAAGTTGAGCATCAATTTCTTTACTTCGTATTGCAATCCATAAAGAAATTGACTGATGAGTGCAGCATCATCCCACTTGATGTCAATTACAAGTTGTCGAAATTGTGAAGCATATACTGTTACTGAGCGATTTCCTTGTCGCAGAATTCGGATCTTATTTGTTGCAACACGAGTTGCATCGTGTTCACCATACATAGATCGAAACTCCACCAAAAAAGCTTCCAAATTGTCCAATATTGGATTTCATTGTTCAAGAAAAGACGAAAACCACGATAATGCAGAACCAGAAAGTAGAGTGCCAATAAACCTGACTTGTGATCCTGGAGTTGGATAGCTTTGCGGTTGAAGTTCAATTGCCAATTGTACTTGATTGATGAACCCTCGAAACTTTGATCTCGTACCATCAAATTTCTCAGGTAAGGCAATTCTTGGTTCTCTAGTGCTTATAGGGTGTTGTACAATTGGAGAAGGAACGTGATTTATTGTAGATGTTGAAGCAGCTCCGATCATCTCTATATCTCCACTTTCTGCTATTCTTGTTCTTTCATGTGTTGGTGAATTGAGTTGATGCATCGCAAGCATTAACTCCCTCATTTGCTCTTGTATTTGTGCCATTGCACTCTTCATTTCAACAAGTTCTGCCATAATGATACTAAGAAGAAAAATTTGTTTGATATTGCTCAAGACTAAAGAAAAGAAAGACTTGATAACAAAGAAGATACTAAGAACAATATCAGTTTAGAAGTGGGTAATCCGCAAACTTCTAATACGCTTATGTCTTGTCAAGAGAAAGGGGTAATCCACTCTTACTCAAGAAAAAACAAAGCTCTGATATTGTAAGTGTACTCTTGTCAATCTGTCAAGGACAAAGACTCGATGGGGAAAAATATACACCAAAAGGCTATCCCGATATAATAAGTCAAAATATAAACAAGTAGGTATATTAAAAGGAAACTGGAATGGCTATTGCCACAAGACGAGAAACTAAAGACTCTTGAACCTGGACTAGAAGCAAGAAAGGAGTTGACAAGAGTGAAGAAGCCTTCACTCTTGTCTCTATATATACTATCTAACTAGGGGCTACGTGGCGACGTTCTATAGGACCTCCAATATGTGTTGACTTTGTAAGACACATGCCTTGACTTACAAGGCAAGTTTTTCTACGTGTGGGCCACATAGTTAGCTTGATCTTCAAGCTAACAACATGTGTGGCACATGGCCAACTTGTTGACCACGTTTCTAATCCAAAAAGTCAATTAAAGACACCTATGAAGTTAAAGCAGCATCTAGGAAGTTTCTAGGAAGCTTCTATATTAAATATTATATAATTAACTTACTTTTATCTACTTTTACTTACTTCTACCTATTTCTATATGTAATTATTAGCTTACATGATTATGGCCGTGACACCAACTTACAGATTGTAAAAAAAAATCCCAAAAATCGCTCTAATATCACTTAGCTACTAACTTGAAAGTTAAGGCAAATGCTCTAGTAGCAATTTTTCTTTCTCCAACTATAAACTTCAATTTAAAATCATTTTATAGCTTGATCTTAAAGTCTTCTAATACCATATTAAATTTCATCTTAATTCGACTAGTAGATCTTCAAATATCATATAAACCCTATCCAATCCTAAATTTCCACTTTCTAATACCTTCTTGTATCAAAACCTAGATATCTCTCAATTGCACTATTAGATTAATAAAAAAATTTACACACACCTAACACATCTAATTAGCCAAGTACTTTCAAATTTTTAACTATAGATGTGATACCAATTGTACAAATTAATTAGAAGTGTTAGCCCTAATTGTGATGCATAAATCCTAAGTCACTGATACAAATTCTAGCTTTGAAAAATAATTGCAAAGTTATTCCAAATCCCACAAAAATAGGCCTTACACCTTTGTAATAAGCTAAAAGTTAGCTCACTAACTTTCATTGTCAATCATCAAATGCCTCCTTATTTTATCCTAAGCAGTTGTTTAGTAGCTAGAGGTCTAATTTCGACCGTGTTCTACAAATGGTCAATCCCCAAGTGTCAATTCAATCTATCCTAGGGATTTTTTAGCCCGACCCTACCCTCAACTTAATCTTAGTATCAATCATACTAATTATTTATCTCTTCTATTCTATTTTTACTACTTTATGGCCTTTTTAAAGTATTAAAAGAAATTCTATATTCTAAAACATAAAATTACTAATCAACTTTTAGTCTACTAACTACTAAGGCAAGAAAATAAATTAAGATACTTTTATAATATCCATGTTTAAATATTTTGAATTATTATTGAATCAAGATGATTAAATATTAATTAAAATTTTATTTTTGATTATATTTTTATCATATATTAATATTACAATACAACTATATACTTCTTAAAAAAAATAAAAATAAATAAAAAATAAATAAATCTTTAAATTTTATCATGAATTTTTATTAAACCTACATTATTAACTCTATTTTCTTCTTATAATCCACATTATAACAAGTCATTTAATTTTCTTATAGTATTTACTAATCTTACTTTTTTAAATGTTTCTATAATAAATTCATTTTTATCAATTCTTTTTTTTTTAAAAAGTTTACTTGATATTTTTAATATAATATTTTTCCATCCTTTTCATCTTGTAAATATTCTTAAATGATAATAAATAATATTATATCAATCTTATAAATATAGTAGATAATATCTACTCTTTTAAACTAAGTAGGAGACATTCTTTCTTAAATCTATTTTAATCCCACTTTATAATGGTATGTAGTAAAAATCCTCAAGATATTCAAAATTTTCATTTGATAATGGTTTTTTTTCAACTTATCACTATTTCTCTCATGATTGGTGCAAATAGTTAAAAATTGATCTACTTTTTTTCCATCTTGGCTTTTTATTCTTATACAGGCTAAACCATTATTCAAAATCTTTCTTTCCATTCATATGGCAATAATATATGGTTGTCCAAATATAATAGAATATGTAAAAATATCTTATATAAAGAAATATTATTCATAAATAACATTTCGTATCATCACCTTGATACTTAGATAAGTTCTATATAAATCTTTTTTTTTAAAAAAATTGTATCAATAGGTAATTTTTTTTTTATATAGCTCTTTTGACATCAAATTGATTTCAAAACTATAATTAATTAATGCTATAAATGCTTCTTTCAAATTTCCTAATTTTACTAAATTTTTTGTAATAGCCCTTACCTAATAATTTCAAAAACAATGACTAAAAGCTTGAATCACATCTTCTTCTTTTGTAAATCTAACTTACAAAACATCTCCAAAAAATTTCATTTCAACCTCGTCATATATATTGCTTCTCAAGGCGTTTATTTCTTGTGCATTTGATATCACAGTATTTCCTATAGATTGTTTTCTCTTTATTGTGTCAATAGTAACTTCATAAAATTCATGCTTTTCAATCCTTAGAATTTCACCAATTCAAAATTAAACTTTTTTAACTAAAATTTGTTCTTCTAATATCTTCTTGAAATCTATAGTAGCCTCAATATCCAATTATAATTTATAAGCAAGGATCTTTTTCTTTTTTTTCCACAATTTTTTTTTTTTTGTAAAAATATTTTCTATTGTCTCTTCATGCATAGGATTTTTTTATTGTCATGTTTTTTTTTTTTTTTTTTTTTCTTTTCCTTGTAGTCTTTTTTGATGGCCCTTCATTATTTTCATCTCTCCTTCATTTTTCTTCTATTACTGCTTTATGATGACTCTTTACAATATGTGCATGAATAGATAAGAATATTTTTAGGATAGTATAAGAATAATGCAAAAAAAATATGATCAATACAATTCACACCACAAACAACAATCTAGCCACTAGAGACTATGACATCAGCAATACATATGTAGAGTTTTACAAAGAGATTTATGCAAATCAAACCAAAAGAGAACAAGAACACATGGCATCAATTCCACAATCTGCATTGTAGTGAATTATAACCTCTTTTCCAAAAGAATAACCACAAAGATATTCACATTATTTTCTAAAGAAAGCAACCAACAACGTCTTAGCAAATGGAGGCCAATAATGCTTCAAAACATAGCTTATAAGATTTATGCCAAGGTTTTGTAGAAGCAGCTACAAAAGCCACTAGCATCTTTCATCAACACTAAACAAAGCGCATTTCTCAAAAACCAATCCATTCATGATAACATCCTGCTCATCCACGAAATGTTGGCCTGGGCCAAGATATCCAAACAAAAATCCATTTTTGTAAAGCTAGATTTCTCTAAGGCCTACTACCTGGTTGATTGGTGCTTTTTGTTCAACGTCATATGTAAGATGGGCTTCTCCACCCCCTTCGTCAACATAAAAGCTTAGATTCCAGGGAGCGGAAGCGGCAATCAACCTCAATGGTCAAAAAACCACCAGCTTCCCAATACGATGGGGGATACGATAGGGTTGTCTTGTCCCACTGTACATGTTTCTCCTCGTTGGCAAGGCCCTCAATGCCTCTATTTGTCACCACCAAGTAGCCGGCAACATAAAAGGCGTCAAACTTCCTGGCACTGAAGAACAACAATTCATCCTCCAGTATGCCGATGATACATCCATCACAATCAGCGCTGAGAAAGCTTTGGTTCAGCAACTAGTTTCAGAACTAGAGACATTTGCCACAACATCCGGACTTGTCATCAACTGGGAGAAATCTAGTGCATATTAGACGGCAAACAACGATCCCTCCACTGCATGGACCACGCAATTCAATTAGATTTGGATGCCAAAGGGTGAAATCGCCAAACTTCTTGGCACCCCATTTGGCCTGTCTGCTAGTACTCTGGACATCGATAAGTTCCTAGTAGAAAAGATTAAGAATAAACTTGTGTATTGGTGTTCAAGAAACCTTTCACTAGCCGGGAGGCGGATTATAGTTAATCAGGTCCTCCAATCATCAATGTGGTACTTCCTCGGCGTCTGGGCCGGATCCAGGAGAGTAGTGACACAAGCCAAGGCACTGCTACGAAACTATTTTTGGGCTAGAAGGGAATAGCGCACTAGAGCTTGTGTCGCCTAGGCGACTTGTTCAAAGAAACTGAAAGTCGGTGGTCTTAGTCTCATTGACCCCGAAGCAGCAATGCAAATTCTATTGAGCAAGTGGATAATGCAAGCCAACGAACCAAGCTAATCCAACCTCTTCAAATCCGACTAGCCGCCTGTCAACCTAGCCGCGAGGAAAATTGGGACCCAGACCCCAACAACTATATGGTCAATGGACACCGCAGATCATCGGGCTCCTCAATTTGGAATCAAATCAAAAAGGCATGGCAAGTTATTGTCCAAGAAATCAAACAAAAACTCTACATACATTGGACGAGGTATGTAATACAAGACTATGGTTTAGTCCCAAATTCGAGACTTTGAGCCACCCCGCATTCACACAAACCCGAGCAGCAAAACTGTACGCTAGGGGGGTCCGCACAGAGCGCGATTATTGGTTACAACATCACCATGGCATTCTTATATGGGATGAGGCCCAGACCCGGTTCCCAGCACTTGAGAATGTTCAAGGTTGGCTGATAATTACAACCGCAATCCATACACACTTTGGTGAGATTCTACAAAGTGCCCAACTCATCGTGCAACCCAACAAATGATTGGGTGTATATGAGGTTGGGAAAACAAGCAACCCGATCTTAGTAAATCAAGCGAATCTACGCTTTTGGCCGCCAATCGGCCAATTCATTAGCATCTCTTATACAAAACTGCAAAACTAGGCATTTAGTATTAGCCCTCTAGATCAAGCTCTCTATCCCATCTCAGATCTCTCTAGGCGGGTATCGAACTACCCATTAACCAGGCGAGTGGCGTCCTCAAATGCCAAATGTAGCGATTGCATCGTTTGCACAGTAGAGAAAGTTAGAGTAACAACACAAGTCCGTGGCATCAAGAAAATCACCACCCAACTATTCTACAGACCCGTCAATAGGCTCAGGTTCAACCCGGACCGGTACTAGTAGCCGAATTAGACACAGCTTCTGCAATACATAGGAAAGGAGGCCAGAGGATGGCTGGCCAACCTAGAATCCTCCACGGTCTCCAACACAAGCCCGACACTCCACTGGACCCACCTAGTTTCTACTGGAAATAGTGCATTTTTGCAAAAAACATACCCAGGTGTTACGGTAAATTCTACATTATTTGATCCATTTTACGCGGTATTATACTGTGGGAACTTTGGCTTGAAAGAAACAATCGCGTCTTTAATAACATAGACTGGCAGTCGGACATCCACTCAAATATGGCAAGGATCACTCGACTATGCAAGAATCGAGTGGCACAAACTTTTCAAGCAGATTCCAGTAGAGCCACTATCCGAAGCCTACAAAAATTTCGACAGCAGCTGGGGATCCAATGGTACCATTTGCACCAAAGAAGGCAAGATCGTCCGGTTGTACATTAGCCGTTACGATTCATACATAGAGTCATCGTTTGGCTGGGATTTTGGGTCCTATCTAGGCCACACAATTGTATCAGTCCCCTAAAATGAAATTCTTTTTATATGTTCAAAAAGAAAAAGAAAGAGAAAAAAGAATTAGGTTCATTATGTTGGACACTTTAGGTACAAGATTGACTTTCCATAATTCTCTCCCTAAGATTTGTATCTCCTACCCTAATTTAGAGACTGTCGAAACATTCTGTAAGATCTATGTTTACACATAATGCAAATAAATAAATAAATAAAAATAAAAAAAAGGAGTTAGCAATTAGGTTAACCCGATATGTTCTAAACAAAAATATAACCCTACGCTGCTCACATCAAATATCAGTGTGCGGACAATTCAAGCCTAATTTTAGCGGGGGTTTAGGGTTTTAATGTACGACATGGATATGTTTCGGCAGATCCCTTGTTGCCCTTCGACGCCGGAGATCCTTTGGGGATTGCTCCCTCATGAGCATCTTCGAGGCTTGAACCGTCTACGCAGCTGTAAAGGTACCTAAGGTCTGGCTACGATTCCTCGTAAAAAACTACTGGTTTGGATAGGTTGAAGGTGTCAGCTTATCTATTGCATTGACCGGGATGTGTGCGCTCGAGATTCCAATTCATAGATCGAAGGACCTGCATTGGAGCATATGTTGATGCTTCTGTGAAGAAAAACGACCCAGATGAATAAGTTCTGTCGTGAGGTGAGTGAAATATCCTATAAACTCCATGACGCAGCCAAAATGGAAAGGGGAAAAGCTGATATGTCGCAAAAGAATAAAGTATACGCAAAGTTTTTCAATGTTTTGCGAGAATTCCGTTTGGTTTGGGATTGGCGGCTGGAGACTACCTCGGAGGGGTCTCCCCGCAAGCTGAACCGCCAGCGTAACGTGTGGTGCAGGTTAAATGATGCAATATCTTTGGAACCTTTCTCCCTACGCCACTTGCCACCAGGATAATTCCAGCTATTAGATCCCCATTCAATTTCTTCTCAGCCAATATTCTGCTCTGACATTGGTTACGAACACGTGTACAAAGCATTCCGCCACATAAGAAGGATCCGTGTGTGCGACAAGGTCATCTGTTTATTATGAGCAGCTATTTAGCAGGGTGCAGTTTTAACGATGTTAAAAGAGTGCCTCTTTTAATTCCGAAGTGGATCAGAGCTAAGAATTTTGGCTGCTGTGGATCAAGATGAAAACAGCACGCGATGTGGTGTAAATCTATGACCGGCCCTGCCATTTCAATCGCTCCTCACCATTACGCGTAATTTCTTCTTCGAAACCTATGCTAGATGTAAGTCAAACCAGCAGTAACTGTTCCAATGCAAGTACTACTGGAGAAGTGATAAGGTATATCCATTCGAGCTCCAACCAAGCAAGCTGTCTCGATCCTGTATGGAACAGTGGTTGGAAAGGAATAATGAAATTTGTACACTGCATAAGTGAGCACTGGAAAATGCTAAAACAGTTCACAAACTTCAGGCACTTCGTTATTAACCACTTTTGAAGAGTGTGCTCAATGCAAGTTTCGTGCGCAACTACTTGCTCCTAGTTTAATTGAAAGTGGTGCGCACTCGATAAATTTAGATATTACACTTCACCTCAAAATGTTTATCCACTCGTTAGTAGAAAGGAAATCTGTATCTAGTCGTTGCACTTTAGAGAGACCCTGCCGGAAAGCTTACCTCACTGAGTTGATAGCTTCACGTCTCCTCTAAGGATTAGGTTACAGCTGCATCAATAGCTTCATCCGTGAACCAGCATTGCTATTGGTCTAAAGAGCACAAAAAAATATCAGCCATGGTAGACAGTACATTTTACTCTAAATTTATACTTCGAGAAAACAATTCGAAGCTATACACGAGCTGTACAAACAGACAGAAACGAGATTCACAAGCTCAGGACGGAAGCATTTGCTCCTGAAGACGGCAGCCACGTGGGTTGGACAGACTTCACGATATGTATGTCGAAAGCGAACGGCAGAATGGAAGCCTTTCAGCAGTCGTGGCAAACCTTTCCTAACAATCATTGACTCACAGAATCGAAGTATTTCAAGAGGTAGTTGGGATTTCGGAAGGAAGCAGTCCTGGAAGTTTAGCGTTGATGTATTGTTAGACTGTCAAGGCTGCGCACTTAGGAATTTCTAGGTGAATGCTAGCTGCGCTGTCGTCTGGATGTTGTGCTAGATAGGTAAATCTGGTTGGTGCTGTCAAAGGTATACCAGAACTCCGGAGCTTGACACTTAGACAGAGTTTTGAGCGGGTAGCTGATCGTATGTATCCAAGCCTCTGGATTCAGCACTCGATCAATGTAATGCTGACATGAATGCCAACAAAGGTTTATGATCTGGCGAACTGGAATTGAAGAGACGTTGTGGACACTGAGGATGATTGATTGAAAACACGTAGAGAGGAGGAGGTCTTGGAAATTGGAATTTCGACAAAAAGTGACCTGTGATGTTTTCGCACAGTTGAATCTTTCGAAATTTTGTAACAGGAACGTTGGGATTTACGGTCCATCTGACCAGTGATCTCTGTTGGCACGAAAATGGCTGCAGTGCGAGGTGGAAATTGGTCTCATTAACCACCAGACGGATATCTTCGACGGAAGGAATTGTGAGGTTGTCATTGTGAAGCGACTAATAGCAGGGAGGTTTGAGGTAGTTCAGGTAGAATCACATCGCAAGATGTCGAAGGTAGCACTCCTGGCTGCTACTGGCAGACATCAGAATGCAGAAGAGAATGATAACCCGTCAAATAACGAGACAGCGAATGCTTGGTACATCCAGGATTTCTCCATCGCAGCAGGCCCAATCGCAGGTCTTCTGACGAAATTCATTTTCCTCGCTGATCAAGAACACACCCAGGCAGGATCTCAGAAGCTAGCATCTATGTTCGCAATTCTTATTTGGATATGCGTATGGTGGATGACCGAAGCTGTTCCCGTGGCCATAACTGCCCTTTTACCCCTCTTCCTCTTTCCTCTTTTGCAAATTTCGACAGCGAACGAAGTAGCCAAAGCATACATGAACGACACTATTTCGCTCTTCATAGGATCCTTCATCCTTGCACTAGCAGTGCAGAAATACAACTGCCACAAGAGACTAGCTCTTAAAACTCTTCTGGTCTTCGGGGGAGAGAAGATGGACCCAAGATTCCTCCTCTTGGGGTTCTGCGCCGGTCCAGCGTTCGTGAGCATGTTCATGTCGAACACTGCTACGGCGGTGATGATGATTCCCATGGCCATTGGGATCGTTCATAAAGTTCAAAACCCACTCATGGTTGAGCAGTCAAGCGCATCCGCTGACGCACCCAAATTCCCTGTGCAAGACTACGGAACAAGATTAGATCCTGAATCACCAAGTGACGAAGAGAGCGGATACGGGATGGAGCAATCTTGTGAGACCTCTGCGCAAGCTATGGGGGACAAGGCCTTACGTGAGTATTCTAAAGGAGTGGTGCTTGCGGTGGCCTACGCAGTCGGAGTTGGGGGAATGGCGACTCTAACAGGGACAGGACCAAACCTCGTATTCTCGGGAATTTTTCGAAGCCTTTTCCCTGATGCGCAACCGGTGACGTACACTCAATGGCTGAAATTCGGATTACCCCTAGGCTTCATCTTTCTCGTTTTGCTGTGGATCATGCTTTGCGTAATGTTCTGTCCTTCGAAAGTAGTGCCCATTGTGTCCGCATCCCTCAGCAGGTCCGTCATCCAGAAAGAATACATTTCTCTAGGTGAGTAACTCGTCCATTACTCTTCGTGTAAATCATTCTAAATACTAAGCCCCGGCTTTAAGTGTTCATGTGCCATCAAATAATTGCAATGACATGAACTCTTCGTAAACTCAAATCGGGAAATTATCGGTGACTGATTCCATCCTCCATTAACCTGCGACTATAATCGTTATAAGTGCCTAACTCTTGTCTTCTTGTTTGTTTAGGAGCAATGGATTCCGCAGAAAAGACAGTGGTGTCACTTTTTATGGTAAGTCTAACGTTTCAATTCCTACTTTCACGAAGAGAAAAAATGTGCAGCGTAGCATGATAAAAACTTCTACACATAATTATTTAATGCAAGGTTAAGAAGAGATTGAGATGCGCGAAATATGAAATTATCGGCAGCAGTAGTGATAATTCACACGGATATCTCAGGTTCTTGCTTTCATGTGGATGACGCGGGCAACAAACGGAGTTGTGCCGGGATGGGGAAGCTATTTCAATGCCTACGCAGATGATGGCACTGTTAGTGTAAGTTTTCTTTGCTTTTCGCACACGCCAATCTATTTATGCTCTCTACAATTCGCGAATACGGATGTACAAGTCGACTGTTCGAGTTCTGTGAATGCTGTACGGAATAGGCTGAAGTAATAAGGAATGTTTGTAACCTACAGATTCTGATGGCAATGTTCTTATTTATCATGCCATTCCGAAGCAAGCAGAAGCTGATGACTTGGGCAGACTGCAAGAAGCTCCCTTGGGATATTGTTCTTGTGCTTGGTGGAGGTAGGTCCTTCCTTACAAGACGTGTACCCAAGCATTCGAACGAATTGTCGTTGTACAGGCCGGAACTGCGGAAAAAAGCTCAGATTGACTTGTGCACCTTTCTCCATGGCAGGATTTGCTCTAGCAGATGGCGTCCGCGAGAGCGGCTTGTCTGATTGGATTGCCTCGCACCTTAGTTGCTTACATTCAATCCCGTATCTCCTCATTACTCCCTGTATTGCAACACTGGTCGCCATTGTCACTGAATTCACATCAAATAATGCAACTGCTACTATATTCCTTCCGTTGTTGGCGGAAGTGTCGGTTTCCCTCAACATTCACCCTCTCTACCTAATGGTCACAGCAACACTAGCTGCTTCGTTCTCCTTCATGCTTCCCATTGCGACACCTCCAAATGCTGTAGCGTACACAGCCGGGAAACTGCGTATGACCGATATGGCTCTTTCCGGATTTCTGCTCAAATGCACCGGAATTCTTTTGCTATCCGTACTCATGCCAACTCTAGGTAATCAAGCTTCCCTTCGCTCAGGTTTCCAATTCTGCATGAGAACGCACATCAAGGTACTTGCCGAAACTACCGAATTTATGCTACTTCTCTTCTGCAATTCTCTTAACCGCCGGTGTGCACGTGGTGATGCTTAATGTAGGTTCGGCGGTTTTTAACTTGGATCACGCATTTCATAATTGAGTATCCTGTACACCACCAAAGCAGGACCAAACAACTTCCACATTACAGGCAAGTTGTACCACATAATTAGCCTCGGCAACCTGAGGTTACATCAGTTATCCTGGATAAAGTTGAAAGAGTGACGAGATTCAAGAACCAACTCGTACCATTAGAGGTGACGAAGATCGTGCTATTGGGAGATGTCAGAGTACACCCCTATTGAGGATTTCTTCTACTTTCGTTCACCTATCGTGAGCATTAATTTTCGAATCTGGAGATTAGAAAGTAATATCCGTGTTGTAATTCACTAAAATGACACATCAATTATTTAACATGTACACCGTGTTGCAAAGTAGGATGTTATATAAAGATTTTTTCAAACAACGGGTTTCAATTGCGCGTTTATTACGTACCCAGGTTTTATGAGGAAACACAATGCTGCATCAGCTCATTGGTTGATGTAACCAGGCGCCACATGATTGCACGACAGCTGAAAAACCTCACACTCAATTCCAGTCAGGCTCTGTCAGGCAACACTGGTGAGTGGTGTGTGACGTATCGGTCAAAAAGCAAGAAAGAATTCGAGGACCAGGTAACGAAGTCCCCTATGTAACTATGACTTGAGGAACTGTCTGAAGTATCCACTAATAACCGAAACTTCTAAAATAGACCTCTGACATAAACTGCGAAATTTTACCTGAACAACAAGCCTGGAAACTCCCTCGCCACAAAAATGCATAGAATGCGTAAGAGCATCATTCACAGAATGCTACCTCTCGAAATATCATTATCAAGTGAAATTATTCCTGACATACCATCGGTCAAATACTTGGTTTCAAACCAGACATATTGCGTCCCCACAATGGGTAACGAAAATGCCAACATACACAACCAAACAATGCTAAACTGATAGTTTGAATTACTTCAGAATAAAAAATTAAAAAAATCACAGACGATTTGTACTATTGTGAACGACACAAAAATATACCTGAAATTCTGAAAATGCTCGGGTCACATCTGCACGAAACCAATGCAATTCCAGGACGTTTAGACTTCAGATGTGTTGTACTTCCCCCCCTCACTCCTAATCCACCAACACAGTATGCCACACAATCTCTCCAGCAGATCTGAAGATATTAATTCCACCCGCTGTGATGACATCATCAGTGCAGAGCAGTTGATTCGAAACGCATTGTAACACCTGCTAACATGTAGAAACTGGTATATTTGCAAGAAGAACGGACTAATGTCTAGGGTTTTCAAGTACAAGTAGAAGGTTCTAAACTGCTAAGAGCACACGTTGAGCATTTAGTAGAATATAGTGCAATCTGGTATTGTAACACTGACAACTAAAAAGAGCTAAGAACCCTTCATTACTTCACATTGCTGATTGTGCTGTACTTGAAGCGTACCTCTATCGAACTCCCAGGTACATCAGAATTTTCCTTAGGTCTTTGGCAGTTTCCTCAGTTCTGCTTTCTCGAAGTTCAGTCACTCTTTGAAATCACAGCCCGTCATTGATCTGTTATCAAATCACTGACCATTATTACAATTTGTAATAACCCCACGATAGGTGGGAAACTACAAGCTCGGTTTAAGTGAATTTCGTGAAAGTTAATTGAAAGTTATGCACGCTGTCTCTTTTCGATTTTTTTTTTTTTTTTTTTTTATCAATAAAAATATTTCCACAATAGAGGATCCAGAAAAATGATTTTACCTGGCAATGCCAGCGTGGAATTGGGTGAGGTGGCAGCAGGGACTGAGTGCGCCACGTGGATTGATGCCAAGTGGCACACATCGATCGCGAAGGGGCCACTGCCCACAGCCATCGTCGCCATGTCGGTGGAGCGAAGCTGGTTGAGGTTCTCGATCTCTCTCGCTCTCTGCTTCCTGGAAACATTGGTAGGGTTGTGCTTGATTCATACATGGCCCACTCTTTCCTAGCCCACTCTTTCACACTAGCTTCGGAGCTTTCTTCTGTTCTGGTTGTCTTGTCAGTGTGCAGGTTTTGGTTTCATTCCTGCACGAAACTCATTGCCATTGAGTCTCCTCTGTTTTGATTGTACATTTGGATCAGTTGCGGGAGGGGAGGTTTCTAATGAGCGGCAGGTCTCGGTGGATTCGACTGTAAGTGGTGCTGGTGGATATTTGTGAGTTGAGTTACATGAATTTGTTACTGTTTAAATAATGATGTTTTTTAAAAAAAATTGTATATATATATATATATATATATATATATGTATATATATATGTATGTATATATATGTATATATATATGTATGTATATATATGTATATATATATGTATGTATATATACAAAGATAAATTATTTTGATTATTTTGAAAATCAAATAATTGATACTTTAAAATTTTATGTGATTTAAACCTATAACAAGCACACACTTAATTTAAAAAAGATATATGATCAAAGATCTAATAAAATCAGAACCTTATCGTGAATTCACACTAGACCATCATGTTAATATGATGATTGATTACTTGAAAAAGATGGTGCATTTTTTAATTATAGCAAAAACATAATATACAAAAAAGTAAATAAAATCTTTCTTGCACGATGATTACTTCATTTATTTTAAATTCTATACAAAATTATATCAAATAAAATGAAATGATTTCTTCCCAAATTTTAGAAGAAAATACCTCAAATTCTTGGCCAAAAATTAAGTTTTTAAACTAAAATTTAGCTACAACATAATGTATTTAAGAATTAAACTAATATTTAACAATAAAAAAACTGTGCATAGAAAATTAGAAATTACAACAATAGTTAAATTTTGACATAATTATGTTTTAATTAAAGATCAAACAAAAATCAAGATTTTAAATATATTTTAACAAACATTCAAATTATTTCATGTGTAAAATAAAAAAATATTGACAATCCTCGTAAAACACTCAACCAGAAAAACTCATTAACTTGCAAAAAGCTTTCAAAATCTTAGATTAACTCTTTTCATAGTCTTCTAATTGCTTATAAATTATTTTCAATATAAATATAGAGTCCATGTATATGAATTGTTTCTAAACACAAGTTTTCTTTACTATAATAGATACATGCTAACAACTCACGTAATTCAAAAATGCACATCACACGTAAAATAAACATGAAACAAGTACTTTTTTCTGGACTAAATTTGCAACCTCACAGAAGTGCAGATTTGCACGCACTCTCAAAATCTGAACTTCGCAAAAGTAAAAGCAAGTGAGGAAGCTTCGATTTTCCTTTAACAGGACCTGTGCAAGAGCTGGCAGCGTCCACGTCACCAGAAGCCGAAAGAGAATTCTTCCGAGGTGGACATTGACGTGGCACAGGAGTGGGGGGATCCGCCATCACAAGATGCTCTGGTCTGCGCGGAGAACTCGTTCATCCGTGTAGCGGACAATTTCTTCCGGCACCGTCTGGCAATTCAAAGCTTAGTTAGCTTGGGAAGTAATCTTTCCTGCTTTCGGGTCGGATCTTTTTGGGAGCGGTGTCGTGGTTTTGTGGCAAATTCCAGGTGATCTTGTCGAGTGGAGGACAGAGGATTTGAAGCTCTCGCTATTTCTTGGGGATTGGGGGTAGTGGTAGTGGCGGAAGGTGGAAGGTAGTGGTGGAGTGGGAAGGAAGAATTCGAGGGACCAGCATGTGGAGGCATTGAGGATTGTATGGCACCATCGCGAGGGGAGGAAGGAGGAGAACTAAGCGGAGGAGGAGGAGGAGGAGGAGAAGAAGGAGCAGAGGAGCAGGAGATGGTGTCAGGGGAAGAGGGTTCCTCCTCCTATGCTTCTTCATATGATGCGTCAAGCTCCGAGGAGGTGGAGCGGAACTGGAAGCAGAATGCCCTCGTGGCTGCCAAGCTTTGGTTCGCTGGATTCCAGGACGCGTGTTGCTTGAACCGGGCCTACTTGTGTTGCCGGAGGTGTGTCTTGGGAGGAGTACCCCGGAAGGGATTTGTTGCGAGTGATCAAGGATTTATGGGATTGTCTGGACCTTGTTTCTAAATAGGTTAGCTATGGTATTATTGGGAGGGCTTTGTCATGCTTACGGGAAAGAATTAGGGCATTCCAACGGAGGGGGAATCAGATGTTGTGCGTGTTCAACATGTGCCGATTTTGAAGTTCGACCATAGAATGTGTAGTTGCTTGGAATGTAGTTTTGTTGTTTCCTTTTCCGTTTGTGTTTTCTGTTCTCTGATGCAGAGCACCTTGTGGCGAGCTTTACTATCGTCCGCATTGTGTAGCACAGCATCTTTAAATTAGGTCTGCGTTATGTTGCAGTGAGGAGGATTGTCAGGATTTATGTCTCACAATGCTTCCTCTGTTTTCGAATTTAGGAGTTTATTGCCTTCTTGAGCATATTCTTCGCACGAATATAGTGAAGGGAGTGAAAGTATTCAGGAAGATTAGTCTACTTCTGGATGGGTGGTTGCTTTCTAATATACGTTTGTAAGCGAAGGATGAGTATCACTTGTGGTCGTCGGCAAAGGCTTTCGTTTCTGATCAGATTCCCCTGTTTTGGAACTTTTGTGAAGACTTAACGGACAGTCCATAATCTCTTTTTAGAAGCAATCATGTCATGCTACAAAGCTTGGAGCTTCCTTTATTATATGTGACCGGGATCCACCCTGTTAGTGAGAGATGTAAATGTTAATTATGGAAGGATTCTAAATTTGAAACATGTTAATTATGGAAGGATTCTAAATTTGAAACATGATGTTTTTACCGTCAGAGATTTATTAGCTCCATGTAACGTATTTGATGGTCAGGGATAATTACTGTGGGTAATTTTGGGACTTGATAGACAATAGGCTGACCTATTATCTTTTCAACTTTTCACCATGATAGTCCTTGATAAACAAGAAGCGGACTTATTATCAACTTAAGGTTTCTTAGGAACTTTCTTTGGTTGCCTAATAGTGAAGGAATTATCATCGTAATCCCAATTCGCTTAGCCCTGATAAGGAAGATTCGGCCGCTTTATTAAAGCTTGACATCAGTATCGTTAGGCAGAGGGTTCGATGATGCGTCTTTATAGGAAGTCATTTGTTATTCCATACTGTCGCAATAGTGTGCATAAGTTGCATTTAGAACCGCCTCGTGTAAGATGAAAGGATCGATAATGATAGAGGTTAGCTGCACATTAGTTTGCCTATAAGGATGTATTGTTATGAATGCTATGTTTTGTGATTCCTGGTTAAAGTGCTGTGAATACTGTTTTAAATATTGGTAATTTTTGCATGTGCCCAGGTCAAAAAGGGTGTTGAAGAAAACAGGACAGTGCTTTGTGCTCAATGGGATCGCCTTCCTTGGCAGGTGCTAGCCAATGAAACTAAACTATGTCACTGTTTTAATTTTTGTTCTTTCAAGCATTACATTCTATTCTACACAGTACGATCTTTTGGGCGTGCGTTGGGCACTTCATTTTCAATGGGACTTGCATCGTAAGGTTTGTTTGTATCTAGTGTGTGCATAGCGGTTTGGCGTTAAGTGCCTAATGTTATTTTTATCATTCTTTTCTGGAGCACTTGGGTTGTATTTTATGAGACTGATGATTCTAAATAGCTTGTGGGTAAATAATCTTCTTAAATGTTTTTCTGGATATTGTTCTAGTTACTTATCTAGATGCATGTATGTGTGCGTGTTGCGTGGATGAGTCTTTTGGTCTAATTTCATTTTATTCGTTGCAAAAAGCTTTGATAATGAGCTAGTGCCTCTATTTGTAGCTTGAGTATATTTTTTAAAATTTACCTAAGGTTTTTGAAACTATTCGTGAGTAGATCAATGAAATTGAAGCCTCCGAATTAAGCTTGAAATGCATGCATAGCAATACATGTAGAAATCTGGTTGGTAATTACATTACTTAGAGAGACTTTTTTCTTTTCTGGGCCGTTCAGCATTTTGATACTACGGAAGTTGGTGTCACCATTGTTGCGATGGCTGTTAAACGCTCTGCTGCACAACAAGGACTCGAGTAGCCTGCTCTCTGGGCTTCTTGCAAATTTTATCATTGGTAGCTTCTACGTAAGTTTTCTCGTTGTGTTTTCAAGGTTAATGATTGCGTAGTCCACCATGTTCCTCAATTGCCTTTTTGATACTTTAAGTGTAGCCTTTCATTTCACAGACATTTACGTGTGCACTAGGGTTTCATTTTTAGACTCAGGCGTTTGCGGCAGTATTGCAAAATGGTCTTATTTTATTATTTCTCTTTATCTTTTTTGTGTTCTGCATTGGCTGCTTAGTGCATGTTACAGATGTGGAATTGGACATTAATTTGAATTGTGAATGTAACAGTTGTTCTGGCTGTATCCTCTCTACATCGCAAGCTTTGTCTTGAACTGTCTGTGGTGAGCCATTTTGAGCTGTTACTTTTTCTAATATGAGATACAGCCCACAATTGTTTGTCGTTTGTTCTTCTGAAATGTGTCGTGTTTGTAACGAGTGTTCTACGTCTCTTAATGTAATTTGATGTACGTTTTGAACTCTAGAACTTTACAAATGTATGTGGTCTATTAGTTATCTTCTTGGAATTCATACCAGGTCTTTTGCAGGTACAACGAAATTGCTTCTCATGGTTTTGATACTATAAAAAGGCAAGCAAGTGGGCCAAGTGCTGCACCAGGGACTTCAGACAACGGGAAAAGCCCTAGAGCCAGTCGTGGTAAAAGTAACTCCGCGATCGAAAGGTGTGTTCATAATCTTTAGTCTTAGATGCTTAGTGCACTTTGTCACTATGCTATAGCCTTGTGCATCTTATATGTTTAAGAGCATTTCAAATGACAACTCATCCCAAATTCTGTAATAGAAGAATAAATTTATTTCCAAAGCTTCAATTTAGCTTGAAATAGAACTTTCGGATATTAGTTCCTCTTCGTGGTGTTTCTTCACACGTGCATGGCTTAATAGCCAAATTTAGAGACACGAGGCTTTCAATTTTGTCCACTATATGTTGAAGTCGTGCGAAGGATACTAGTGTTTTAGTGGGATTGTGTTGTTTTGCAGCCTAGTGCTGGGGATCGGGGAACAGATCTATTCGGTCATCATGCTAAGTGTATTTTTTGTTCAGGTATGGAAGTTGCATTCTATCTTCACAGTCATTGTGTGTAAATTGAATCAGTGAGGTGTATATGCTATCTACTAGTGTCCATTTGTTCTATGCGCAAGCTCAGATCCGTCTTTATCACCAAAATAACCATAAGGATGCTGTACTAGGTTTTTTTTACAGTAAGAGGTTCTCCTGCACGTCATCAATCACTACCTTATTCTGACTAAGATTGAATAGAATTGAAACGACAGCTTATTTTTGTTTTTCAATTGAAAGTCGAAGGTTTGGATTCAGAAGTGACCGTGCCACGGACTTATTTGTGGATGGTGCAGGTGTCTCTACTGAGCTACCTTCCTGTTGTTGGTCAGCTGTTAAAGTTCGTACTTATGTCGTGGCTATATGCATACTACTGCTTTGAGTAAGGGTTTCGACCTTCATAGCATGTTCTTATATCCCGAAGTTGCTTCTCATGCCAATATTGCATCATAATGCTGGCTAAGTGACTTGGTCTGTTGGGCAGATTAACAGTTTGTGTTGATTTGGAGAAGAGTTCGCTTGCTGTGAAAATAGTGTAGCTTGTGAATTCATTCCGTCTGTGCGTTAACCTTCATGCACGCAATGCTTACGAGAGAATACTATTTGTGAGCGTTAGTCTACTACTGGATTTTGAGGTTTCGTAATTTGAAATAATGATTCCAATTTGAATTTGTTGAACAGACTCCTGGACTTGTTTTGATGATTGTGGCTACGTATTTGATTGATGTTTATGCAGTTACAAGTGGGGTCTTAGTCGTTGGAGTCTTGAAAAGCGTCTACTGTTCTTTGAAAGCGATTGGGCTTTCTTTGCAGGCTTTGGTAAGTGCACTACTCGTAGAAGCATTGAAATGCTACTATTCTGGAAGTTTGCTAAGTCTCTGTACCTTTATATCTGGGACTTGTAGGATACATATTGCTGTAAGAGTGCTGTATGTCACCAGATTAAAACACGGTTTATGCTGTCGCTCAAGTTTGGTTTTTGCTGTCTGAATGTGTGCAGGGAGTCCATGTGTGTTAGCCACGTTCTTCCTTTCTCCCCTTGTTGGTGGTGGAGTAATGGCCGTGGTTTTCCCAATCGTAAGTTTCTGGAATTTTGGATCAGAACAGCTTGTCTCTTGTAAAAGACTGAAAAATAAATTTTATAAGGGTCATTCTGTCATCAGACCTCCCAGCATTTTGCTTCATTGATTGCGTAGATGCCATTAGCTTATTGTTACGATGTTAGCTACGAAAGGTAGAAGAGGCATGGAACCGGGCACGCTTTAGGTAATTTCCATTTTGGTTGTATGCCGTGGTAAATGTGGGGTGTTAACAAGTGTACGATCTCCAATTTTATGTGCAGTTTGTGTTGGTCGCTACTGCATCTGATCCGGAGGCAGCAGTCAATGATTGCTTGGGCGGAAAGAAGAGCGGCCTACCACGTCTTCCTCTCTTCCACATTGCCAACAAAATATCGTAAGCATCAAACCTTGAGTACACATGTTTAGAAGAGCCCATTGTACTAATTGTTGAATAAGTTTGATTTTGTATCTTCGTAGATCTCATCATGCTTGATTAAATTCGAAGTGCTACAATGTGTTCCTGTTTTAATGTTCAACTTTGGGCTTTGTTTACTTATAGAACAAATTTCAGTGGTTTATTTGAATTGTTTTGAATTTTATAGATACTCAATTTGATGGAGTCTATCATTAAACTGGTGTTGTTTGTTTTCCTGAATCGCAACTTAAAGGTCCTATTGCTTGCCTGAGTTTATCTCATTGTAGGCTTGCAAGTACATGTTACTGATTATGATCTTCATGCAGGGTTCCACTAGTTCGTTTTCTCCAAACATATTGGTCCGCTTCAGCAGCGAAGAAAAAGATCCAATAACACACGAACTCGCTACAAAAGGGTGTCAGTTATTTTGAAACGATCGTGTTCTAGTTTGTTTGAGGTAGTATGGTATCTTCAGTTGATACACAGGTAGAGTTGCCCACTTTTGTTGTCAAGTTTATGAGCAGAGCACACTTGCTTGTGACTGTCTCGTCCGACAGACAACATATTTGATAACTTTTGTATATATTTGTTAATTTATTTAACCAACAAACTACGGTTCTGCTCTCTTTTGGTGTTTATTTTCCCCGTCTTCCACTGAAAGGACTGTGTGCATGTTCAACTTCAGCTTTTTGTGCTTGACAGCGCTGTTGTGTTTGCTTCTTTACTCTGCTTACCATGTGGTTGACGCTTTTCAACGAAAGGCTCAAGGCTCAAGTTCTTTCGTTGACTTTTGCGGGCATGATAGTTTGTGCTCAATTCTCGAGTGATACTATATAGCACTTATGGTTTTCACTTACACCTTCCTTTTCATCTAGATTTACACCCCTACTTTTGATGAAATGCTTTCATAACTTTCATAGCTTTCATAAAACTGCAATATTGTTGTCGCGTTTAATTCAGATTGACAGATGAGTTCGAGTTATTGCCGACATAGCATCCCGCAGTTCAACTGCGATCTGCACCGTGTTCAGCATGATCTATGTCCTGGCCTCGGATAGGTCAAGGCGTCAACGGAGAATTCAGCTCGTCACTCTGGAGTTGGCCGCATTCTTCCGCACCCAGGAGAGATGGGATCTGTCGCCTAAGGGCCGCGGATGCTTCCAGTGCAAGTACATGAACGTCAGGCCGATGAAGATACAAACGCATCCCACTACAACGTATGACAGCCCTAGGAAGTCATTCCTCCCACCAACCCAACTCACAGTGGATAGGACGAGTTTCTTGCTCCCACCAAAGCCATACGTGTTATAGAAGTTATTGATATTCACAGTCAGTCTCGTGCCGGGCACCAGGTCTGTTTCGATGCGGCCGTAGATTTTGCGAAACGTAGGAAGAGCAGCTGTACGCATCCACACCATGAGGTCTTCGTGCCGGTTCAGTGGTAAGTTCTCGTCAAGCGAAGCTCCTCCAATTTGGGAAGCATTCGCAAGTGTGGTTCGGTTGTTGTTGGGAAAATTTGTTGGAAACACGGTATTATTGAATCTTTCCTCCCGGTCACTCTTCCATGAGATTGCTGTTTTGTTAATGAATATTGTACCATTGTCGCTGCTAAAGTCGTCGATGGAGAAATCGAAGGAATCGTTGAAGAGGCTCCATGCAATCAGTCCACACGGGATGATAACCTGCCCGTTCGCTGTGTCCTGAGGTTTGCAGTCGTTAAGCTCTGAACTGGAGGGCGGGAGTCCGCGGAGCTGCCGTTCGCTCTTACTCTTCACATACCGCCTATGGTTCTGAAAATAGTTTCCCAATTGGTAGTAAACGTAAATGGGTGGCGTCATCAGCTTATCGATTTCCATAGTGATCGTGCAGTTCTTCTGCTTATTGTAATTTTTCATGTAAGCGGACTTCTCCTCGTTTGTCGTCAATGGGTTTGCACTTGTTGCGTGTTTCATAACACAAAACGTGTCATACCTATTCACAAGCTCCACAACCGACCAAGAAGCGTATAATGCGTACATACCAATGAGAATGCATGTCGCACCGACCAAAACGAACAACACGACAGTGCATCTAGGCGTCAATAAGGGTTTGCACGAGCTAAGCTCTTGTTGGGAGAATTTCGAGTATCTCGGTCGTCTTGAATCTTTCCTCGAGCGTTGCACCTCCTCCTCCTTTTGTAATCTCCGCACGAATTCACCATCTACAGCAGTCACTGCCATGGCCGGCAATCAAACTCAACCCATTTGACATTCAATTCCTCACGACTTATCTGTTCACTCAAACTCAACGAAAGAAGTTTTTCATACACTAAGCAATTGCGAGACTGTGATTGCCGAAGGCACATGGGAAGAACCGCCCTGATGCAAAATTCAACAGGAACGAAACTATTATGGGAACAACGTCAAACAGAAAGAAAATCATCAAGATACCCGCAAAATCTCAAGAGACAGTGACCATAAAGTGGAATGAGGCCAAGTGCAATTCATGAACCGCTCTGAACTCGAAACCTAACGAAGAGAACAATAGATTTTCCTGAGAATTGTAAGAAACCCTTCCTCTTTCCTCACTTTCTATACTGTCCAGAACTCATGTGATCTACCTTACGAACCCCACCAACCCAAAATTCCTATGAATTCTGCTGCAGTCCGTGAGTCTCCGGCCGTGAACCTACAACACCATTTCGTGTTGGTTAGAACTTCTTCAATGACGAATGTGTTCGTCACCATCCACGATTCATCCATGACATCAAGACTCCGCGATCGCCGTGCACACCCAAAAATTCGTAACAGAGTGCAGTGAAGCTTCTACGCATTGGCAGTGATCTTGGAAGCTTTCGAGTAGACCTCCTTAAACGCACGCGATGTCAATTCTTTCGCCCAATCGCGGCAATTTTGGGGCAGAATCTGAACGTTGATGTCCACCTAGCGCTCACAGATCAGTCCTTGAAGAGTATTTCCCCTTATTGGTTGTCGCAAAGGGCCCTTGCGTCCGATGCTTCGAAGAGCGCAAGCTAGGTTTGAAGCTCGTCATGGCCATTCTGGGTTCGGCCAACGCTCACCCACATCGCGTTACACGCTAACAACGCCAATCGTCTCCGACCTGCACACATGGCTTCACGAATGGGTCGCACACAAGGCGTGAGCGCCACGCTCAAGCAGTAGCCGACAAGGGAGGCGCAACCGGAAACGGTTTCTTGCAGTGCAATCTCTCAAATGCGTAAGATTATCGGGATTCAAGACACTGCTCTCAATTTTCGACGATTTGAGGGGTCGAATTCGCCGCAACACGCATGCATGCAAACAGCTTGTGGAATCAAAAATTTGGACCTTATCAGAGTTCTCGTCGCTATCAGCATTCCGCCATGTTGGGTGAGGATGTGGATGACGAATCGCAGCTATGGATGAACGTTTTTCATAAAATTACAATTTAAGTATACTTAAATTATAAATAAGAATCTTTAGAAAATTTTCCTATTTAATCTCAAATGACTAATATATTTTTCTCATTCCAGGCCTCTCTACCAAGCTAATCAACATATTTAACAAGAATGGAGTATAAAAGAGAATCAAGTAATAGTGCCAAAAACATGAATCTATGTACATGTCATTATTAATTTAATAATATTTTTTTAAATAAAAACTTAATCAAAGAAATCAAAAGAAGATATATTTCTAAGATAAAACAAGATTAGAATAGTGGCTTTTTTTAGTCCAATAGTCTTAAACTACCACTGAAGCACAAGAGAGTCCACATGTGTTGCAGGACAAACAGTTTAAGTTATAGAATTGAACTTATTTTTTAAATTTCATTTCTTGGACCACAAGAATTACAATAGTTCTTATTTATTAAGTATTATTAATGTAACGAGATTATTTGTGGCTTGAAATTTTTTGAGTCTATATGATTTTTTAGAAAATAGTAATTAGGATAAAAAAGTTAGGATAAACCTTTTGATTTTTAAAACAAATTCCATAGACCCAAGGTACTTGTAATTATTTGCATCACGAATGTATTTACAACACCTACACCATTTATATCAATAAAATTTCTGTACCTTTCTTATGCAGAATCAGCCAGAAAATAATTTAAAGGAAGAAATAAATATATATTTTAAAACTAAAAACAAAAAGAATTATGGTTCAAAAACACTAAAAAAAGGGTTAATAGGCACTTTCAAATGTTCAAGAACGCTGGCAATAGCCAGCAACTCATCAAGATCCTGAATCCAAAGAAAACTTAAACTCGAGAATTAGATCCAAAAACTATTTTAGGCCAAAATCGCTTTCCTTGAATTAGGAAACATATTTTTTATATACGCGTGGCTTTGCTCGGAAGTGGTAGTTTAAAATCACGGCATGGAATATGCGCTGATGTTCCATCACCGACTAAATAAAGGCTGGCCGCTATCAAGAATGTATCACAAGCCACGCTACAGCAAATATAATCAATCAAAGATTAGTTCAGTTTGCTTTTGTACAGAATCATCAACCACCTGCCAGCTGCTAATCGGAGCAAACCAACACAAAGTCCTATTGCAGATTATTAGGCACTTTCTCGGCGCCTCAATAAGCATTGACATACTTAAGGAAAGAACGGGAGGCTGTGTCAATATTAGCCTAGCCATAATTTAAAAACGCTCTTTAGGCTCAAATCTGCATACACAATCATAGATGGAACCGCTGATGATTTGCTGTGCCAACCGTTGGTTCTTAACCATCGCCAGCTTCAAAACATCACACTTAAACTTGGCATTAAAATTCGTATGTAGTGCACGACCCATACCCTCCAACACAACCAGGTCCGTGTCCTCGGCCAAGGAAGCCAGCTCTGAGCTGACCTGTCGAAAATCAATGCACGGGCTACCACAGCCATTTTCGACCACAGTTAAAAAGGGAACTGCAGCCAGATCCTTCTCTGTCAAACCTGCCATCATTATCGTCAAGTTTAATTGGTGGTTCAAACTCACGAAACAATTCAGGACATACACTTGTGACATTGGGAGTCGACGAAATAGCTAGCATTGTTAAGCCTCAAGTACTTTATCCCTCAAATTCCAGATGCGTTTGATTGCCATACTCCCAACCGAACTTAGGGAAAGGCGAACCATCCGAATAGAATGTCATATATGCCCAAAATAAAAAAAAAGGGAGAAGAGTTTGATGGCTGTGCCCAGCCTTAAAGTGACTATTCACATCTTGAAGCAAATCATCAAACTATCAGGGTTAGAACTGACCGTCATCAAGCACGTCCACTAGAAGCCCACCAGCAGTAGCAGCTCTTCGTAAGATTTCACAGTGCTTAGCTGCAGCTACCACAATGCTCGGCAGCTCAACGGCTGTAACATCATTGATTGCAGGAAGAGAATTTGCCACCAGCACAACCTCCGTCCCTCTCCTGAGAAGCTCCCGGGCTAATGGAATCATCCCAAGGACAATATCGGCTCCTGAGTTGTCAACAAACAAGAGTGCACGTTTATGGGGTTTCAGTGGGACTCCTGTATCATTGTCAACAATCATCCTTCGACTAAAAGAATCAAAATCATCCACTCGCCATGGCCTTTTCATCTTATTTCGGCTCATTCTATATATTTCAAGAATAGTCCCGCTGCGATAGAGTTCTACGCATGCACGAGAACCCCAGTCGAAAATATTTGCAGCTAAAACGCCTTCAATCAGCGCTAGAAGCCTTGCAGAGGGTGCAAGACTATCAAGCTCCGCTAACAGATCTGGTAGCACGACCATTGAAGCTTCGTTTTCTCGTTGTTTGATGGCCAAATAGACGTCTTCGAAATGAAATTCGCGTAGACATTCTTCTCGCATCTCTAAGAGATTGGCTAACCCTAGTTGTCCATACGCTGCTGGTTCTTCCCGCAACCTGGAGATGCAGAAGGTTTAACATCAGTTATAGTGCACAAGAAACATGGAGATATAGTGCACCACTCATCATAGTAAAGCTAGTGAAAACTAGAGAGGCAGAAATAACAATGAAAGAGTCAGTTGATTCTTTCCAACCTGGCTAAATGAGCCTTAAACGCACGAGCAAAGGCATCGCCTCGCCTTTTTGCATCCGAAGTGCCACCTTCGCTTGCCACAGCCTTCTCGACAAGATCAGGAAGATTGCTGGCAAGAACCTTAAGCCAATACTCACGCTCTGACTGATCACTTAAATCAATGGTATTCGGTTCATAGCTCTGGATATCAGCTAGAAGAGGAAAAGGCTCAAGAGATGGTACAAGATGAAGGACTCCAACATTCAGAGCCGCGCTTGCATCTGAACGAAGGGAGACTGAACGCCCAAGAGCCGCAAGAGGTCGCTCAAATCCTCCAAGTCCCGTCGTTCCGGGGAATGTTGTTGGGACCGGAGCAGTAATTTCATTCCCTTTACTTACAAACTTGTCCATCCACGTGATTTTTCCATTGAGATCACGAATTGGAGGTCCATAAATCTCCCCTTTTGCATATGGAGCTCCCATCGGAAACCTTTCAACACACTGGTGAGCAGTTAGATTAGATAATCCGTGCTTGTCATAACTCAGAAACGCCCCAAGTGCGCCTAAAAAGCCCTCATGTCGCAGAAACATGGCTTGAGCTTCGCCTTTGGACCAATATCGTATAGCAAATGACATGGTATCCATCGTATATGCGTGTCCTCTGATGAAGAAGCCACCGAAAAAGATGCGCTTCAATCCATACCGCAGAGCATTCAAGTATGCAACCTGCCCAATGTTGTATGAAATCATCCGCAGAAGCGATAGCGCAATATCCTCCCTCCTATATTCAGATAAGTCTTTGTCTTGGGCAATCACCTTCCCAAAACTTGATGCTATAGTGGACGCTGACAAGCCAATCTTCGAGTAATCAAGGCCACCGTAAATATCCCCAACCAGCATGTCAATTGCGCTGTTGTCACCACCCTGGCTGAGTTCCAAAATCTCGTCAAAGTTCTTGCACTTAGTAAGCAACCGACCAAGACCCCAAAATGTACCACCACCGACGTTCGTTCCACTGACCCTTTCGTACTGCCCGTCACCATCCACTTTGATCATACTCACGCCAGACCCAATATTCACCAACAAGTATGGATACAAATCATTATGATCAATTTGTACAAACTTCTTTTCCCCTTCGAGGTGAGTAAAAGCCTCGTCCCTTATCGCCCGCAACAAAAAATTTGCACCTGCTACCAAGCATCCCATCTCATCCTCCTTGTCGATGGTAACCCCTAGCCGCTCCTTAAATACGTCCGCAAACTTAAACGCTCCGCCTCCTGTAGCCTTGATAACACCACCTTTTGCATCCCTCTTATCACACAAATGAAGCTGCTTCGAAAGAATGAAGTCCAAACAATCGTTTACCTTACTAGTCTCAAATTTCACAAAATGTAACCTCCCTCCAAGGATCGGAAAACCCCCATACCGTCGCAACCCGGCCTCAAACCCGCCCCTCTTCAAGTGATCCAATTTCCTAATGGGCGACAGTGCCCTGTTCCCAGAATTCGTTGCCTCTCGATCTGCGCGACGGGAGAAATACACAACTTTGATCAAAGATCCCCCCAAATCAACCGCAAAATGCGAAATCTCCTCGGTTTGATTTGGAAGCAGAATGCTAGGATTCCTGTCCTCGTGGGAACCCTGAATGGCAGCCCCGCGAAGGTCAAGCACCGGCCTCACAGGTAGATTTCTTGAACCAACAGGATCCTCACCGTTGTCTGGTGGTGGATTACTGCTAGCCATGGCAGTGATTTGGCGCCTAGTCTCAAACTTAGTGAAAGCCGGTTATAACTCTGGACATCAGCGCTTCGTATCAATATTGTAGCACCAGAATCATCAGACGTTGACACAACATTCTCATCTTACAAGATTTCAATAATATGACCAAGAAGTTTGAAAAGACGGTGCCATTACTGAAGAAAAAAATCTACTGCAAATCTACAAGCTCTTTACAATTAAGTGGCTAGCAAATGCCCAAGCAATCCAGCTCAAGAGATGCAGTGCCAAATTCATCGTGTACACCAGCATTCAACTTGAACCAAAAATTTGTGTATTTCACATATCCTTAAAATATCACATAGTCTACACCGAAATGACAATCCAACAGAATGATCTTCCGCATGACAGCATGAAATCCTCAACGGCAAAAGTAATGAATAAACTTTATCCAATGAATACGTGCAACTAAAGTGATATTTGAACACCTCTCAGTCAGCAACGATCGTTCTGCATATATCAATATTCATTTCAGAGACCTAGGATACGTGGAAGGGAATGCTTTCTACAGCTCCACAACAAAATTAATCACTCTTTTAACCAACGGTTTCAATAGTTTCAGCATACAAAACTTCGCATGGCAGCACGACACTGCTAGCAGCGTCAAAATATTTTAGAGACCATCGAAAGGTAAAATTCATTTATATTTTACTGCTTCAAAAAAAAATCACTCTACAGTTTTCCGGTAGGGTTTGAAAGGCTTTGTACGGCTCACTGTACATTCGCTTCAACGCTCAAGATATACCTGCTTTACTTAGACGGTACACAATGCGTTCCGATTCCAGCTGCAAACACTTCAAATTTATAGTCCTATCTCAACTCGTCTAGATCATTAAAAAAAAAAAAAAAAAAAAAAAAAAAAAGTAGCAATCCCTCCAAATCAGATTGTAGAGGCGAAAGTGATCACAAACAAATATCACAGTAATAAATTACTTAACAAACAATTACTCCAACCAAAAAAAATCAACTTCAAAATCAGCACAAAAAAGAGGTAAGGACCGAATTAGAGACTTACAAAAAACTCTCCCTGCCCGGTTCAAAAGACAGACTCGCTCCCTCCCCTCAAGAGCAACACCAAGCAATCATTTTCACTGCAGCTTCGCACCTATTGTCAGGTTCTCGTGTTACCGAAACCAAAGCACAAACACCGAAAATCCGAAACTATGAGAAACGCCCTCTAGAATTAGACAAGACGACCAAGCCATGACATGACCAGGAGCCCGCGATCTCGGAATTGGTCTGACAAGTGAAGAAGGCGACCCTGAGCTCGTGAAGAGCAGACATATGAGGCCCGAGAAAATAAATGATGGGGAAGAAGAAGAAGAAGAATGTCGAACTCTTCTATTTCTCCTCATCTTCATCCACCATTTGGATGAGTTAATGTTCTCATTTATTTATCGTTCATCCCGTACTTCCTTGACTTGGACTGTTTTGGGGCGGGATTATTGATTGGGGGACATTTTCTGTTGACGGGTTTGAGTGGCGACGAATGAGAACTCCCCCTTGCTTTGGAGGGATGAATGAATGGATGATTTGATGGATGATTAGTTGGGTTTGCAAACGGATGAGAAAAATATTTTTTTGTCTAATGAAAGGAGAAGTATTGTAGAATATTTATTTTTTTAGGGGCTACTTGTTCTTTGCATGTATGTGTATATGAAAGTAAGCACAAATAGTATCAATCTATGATTTTTTTGATCAGTATTCCTAAGAGTAAAATTGAAAGACACAAATAAAATCAAATCAAATCAAATAAACATATTGTATAGTTTTGCTCAACAATATTTGTACATTTTTACAATTATATTATTTTGAAACTATTTTTATCAATGAAAGTAAGGATAAAGATGCAATTTATATTGTATCATTACTTTATTTTGTTATTTAATGATATAATATAATATAAAAGTAAGGATAAGGATCTTATTACATTATCAAAAAAAAAAAAAAAAAAAAAAAAAACATGTCACAAATTTACTCTGTGCCAAAGTTTATTTCACATAGAGGGTTCAACCAAATTAAAATCCAATTTGTGAAATCTTGTAATTTTAGTACAAGACAACCTCAGATGGATTGTAGTGCACCAAAGAGGTTAACAATTCAAGTTCTAATCACATAGTCTCTTCTCACAAAATCCCAATAAGAATAGGACATATTTTGTAATTCTTTTTAAATAAATGTTCTCCATGAATAGACATCTAAAAACATATGTCCATGACAAAAAGCATACAGCAACCCCACCAATTATCTACATGATTGTTTGCCCCTTTGAATATTAACTCCTAAACATTAGCTAATTGTGCAAAATGTCTAATAATCATAATATATGTGTGCATTTATTTCTTTGTAAACCCTGAGCAACATCAAGGTACCAAAAGTCCTAATGGATGAACATCTTAGAAAAAAACAGTACAAATAAATCATAGAAGTCATATCAAGCCATAAAACCTATGCCTTGCTTGACAAAAACAATTGACACAAGCACTGAGTAAGTGAGCAAGTGAATGTGTATGTATGTATGTAAATATATATATATATATATATATATATCCCTCAAATAATTTTAAAAAAAGTATTGAAAAAACCATTCAACATTCCAAAACTCATGCTGAACTTCTACTTCAATTGAACCACAATTTTTAATCAACTCTGGTTGGAACAAAAGAATTCCTTTGATGCCAATAAATGAAGTAAAATTTGGAACTTTGTGAAGAAGAGGGAGTAAGTTCTTGGGTCAGATTGTCAACCTTTGGAAAGCAACTGTCTGGATCTTCATGTTGACCCAGAGAATCAACTAGAAAGTTCTCCTTCGACGGCTACATATCCTACAGATTTCTCACTAATAATAATTCCTGCTTAGTACCAGACGCAGATCACACGAAAATTGTTCGACAACAATTTCAATGGTGTTTCTATTTAGCCTTCAAGGAAGAGCATTATTCTCGCACACCCTTGTGTTGAAAAAGCACTAAGAATTCTTCACTTGCACATAAGATATCGAAGTCTGAGAATAGAGGCGGATCAAAATCAGCATGCCTAAAAAATCACATCAGTATTCTACTATAATCACGAGTACCTGCCCTCTCTTCACGTTGCCATTGGAATCAAATCATGTGATGTTGAATTTGATCTTCATTAAGGTCAAATTCTCTTTCAACACCTATCCTGTAGAACCAGAAAGCACCCCATGCAAAGGTTATATTGTAGATAATAGGGTACATAAGCAAGCACTACATCGTAAGTGAGACATTCTCAAGTGACTGTATCCCGTAGGTTGGCTAGTAACGTGACGTTGAAGTTCCAGATTTTGATGATCAAATCTGATGTTAAAGTTCCTCTGAGGACCTTAAAACCCCCGCAGGTTCCAATATCGTCAGTAAATCAAACAATGCTGCAGAGACAACCTCCGCACTGACAGTGACTCAAATAAATGCGTGGAATAGTAAATATAATTGGTATAACCAGCGAGCTAAATAAATAAATAAAGAGATAAATAAATCGAACAACCTCGATACATACTGATGCACCTGCAGATTGCGACGAATGCTTATGATCAGCACTAATAGTATCTTTAACACAACTTCAACAGCAAAGCCTTGGTCCAATCATAGACACAATCTATCATTTAGACATATCATCACTCCACGTGAATGCTTAATAGGAAACCACCACGGCTCTGCAGGGCAGTGCTGACGAACCAAGTTGTAAGGAAGCCACCAGCTGGATCTCGAAAATCTCAGGCCTTGAGACCTGTCCACATGAATGTCCGATAAAAGTATGCATCCAATTAACACTCCGCCCTGCACCTTTCCATAAGTCGTCTACTAAGCTGCCGGTAGACCATTCTAATCACGACGGATACAGTGGCGTCGGGAGGATTGTCGCCGTAGAAGAATCCTGGTTTTTTTTTGCTTCGCACTAAAGTCTATCCTTCCGTCAATAAGTCCACTCGCCTGAATCAACCCCAAGTTAGCGCTGAATATGGACTACTTGCAAGAGCACAATAACACTCATGACTGATGAACTGATTGTAGCGCATCTTGTCAAATGGATAAGCCACCTGTAACCTAGGTGGGTACACCTAAAAATATGAAAACACCAATAATAACAAAACTGCGAATTGATAAGAGCTGGAACGATTTAGTTTGGAAGCTTGAGAGCACTAACGGAAAGCACAAGGCCTGGAACGCTCTTTATTGCAATTATGAACCATGAAACACCAAAGACAGCGAGTTCACGAATCTATGTTCCAGGCGTGGATGATACATCTCGCAACAACATGAATAACAGAGCAACTAATTGGGCAAGCCTGCTAGGAGACTTCTTGCTACACACAGAAGGTTGACCCAGTACTGGACCGCCCTTCTAAAGGATGGCAAAGAAAGCGCCACCACGGTAGAAAACAGAACACAACTTCTGATTCCGATGTCTGAATCTGACTGTCCACCATGGAACCAAGTACAATGACAAACAACTCTGCCATGTCTGTACAAACAAAGTAAGTCTTCAATGAAGAAGAAATTGGTTATGAAACCTGAATCATGGGCCTTTTCCCTAGCCACTTTATCTCACGATCCATTCGACCAGTCAGCATCAAGAAAAACATTTTATAGTCGCAAATCAAGGACCATATTGGATGACCGAAAGAGGCTGGTGTATTCCCTTCAATGAAGAAATGGCTGTACCAGGCAAGCCCGTACCCAAACATAGGAGCGAAGAACAGGAGCCACCATTTTATTACAATTCCAGCTATCAAAAACAGAGTCGCGCAACCGGTTGCACAGAAATGCCATCTCCGTGTCGATGCATTTGAATGTTGGTTGACATAAAAGGGCCAAAATTCTTCAAAATTCCTGAAGTGCATTTTTATCGACACTCCGTTATCACAAGGTCACAAAGTTGCCGGTTCTAATGAGTCCCTGCTGGAAGATTCAATGTACGCAAAGAAGCGTCATGTCAATTTTTCTTCCTTACTGTAGGTAAAACACGATGGAACTATCAATGTGCAGTCCTGAACTTCATCGCTCTAAAGTAGAGTGCTAAATCAATGAAAACCTAACTGTTCGTCTCAAAGTCACACACGCAACTGCAAATGATGCGCTAGGGCCGTGAATTCAAAAACAATTGATTGAGTCAGGTTCATTACAAATATTGATCGTAGTTGCTAAAAAGGCGGATTGCAACTAACATCAGAGTACTCCCTGAAGACGTAAATTGTGCTAAAAGTAGCACGGATTGCGAGGATATAACCGAGAAACAGAGATAAACTGAAATCAAAGTAGCCTTACATGCAGACCAGATATTATAGAATTGACGCAACCGGAGCAGAAAAAACGAGCTTAGAATTTCCTTAAGGAGCTATTGGAGACCCTAAGTTGCAATGTCAATCTCGAAAACGTCCGCTACAGCAAGTGGGTGACGCTCACAAACCGCAAGTACACGATTTTATCTACACCAGTACACGAGTTGACACATCAGGCACTCAAAAATAAAATAAAATAAAATAAAAAAGAGGGAATGAACAGATGAAGAAGAAGCCATAGTAGAGGGAAATTGGACGGCACCGTCCCAATGTTTAGGGCTCCACACCTGCTTAATTCACACGCCACTTTCTGCACTCCACCCGCGACGTCAGCTTTACGATGCCTGCGACTCAAGCCTGGATGTCACGAAGGTGGTTCCAGCTGTGAAACATTAAATTCGGAACCAAGGGTGTGTAGCCACTGCGACAACACTTCAACAAAGCCATAGCCATAAACCTAACACGCGAACCCATTGCCACACACCAATTCATCGCAAGAACCCAAGAGCCAGCATACCCAAATTACGCGCGTGATCGCGAACCCAACGTCAGAACCCCACAATCCATTCAAAACACTCCCTCCGGATTGGATTCCGTCCCCCAAATTGGCTGTTCACAACGACCATCCAACTAGTGCTCACGACCTTCCTGCAAACGAATGCCACCGAGGGGGGAACAAAAGCGAAGCAAATCTCCGGTAGGCCAGCGTCTACAACATTACAACCAATCGGGCACAATAGAAGAGCAAGGAAAGGGGAATCTGCGGGATGGATCCTCGGAGGAAGAGGATCCTGACAAAGGAGGGAGGGGAATCGAGGTGGGAAATGGTCGCTTTTTCGGCGACGGCCATCTCTCCCGTGGCGCATTAGCATAGCAGTAACAGCAATCGTGGGGCGGGGCCTTTCGATCCGCAGCTAGTTCACGGTGCACAATGGCAGGCAGTGCCTGTGACGAGGAGTGAGCGGCGAGTGCTGTCCATTCGAGCACCGCATGGCACCGGGATTCCGCACCTGGTCGTGCAAAACCAGCTCCATCCATCCCTAAATTTAGCCAAATTGGCATTTTTAGGGATGCATTGACAATGTCATGCAATGCTAAAATTTGTACAAGTTGAATATCTTCTATTTCTCAAAGATATACATAGAATATCTTCTCTTCTCTGTAATGCAAAGTGATAAACCCTTTTTTATGTTTTTAGATATGAATTAATACCTACAAATTACATAAACTTTTATGGTGTCACAAAGTTCTTAAATTGTTTTCAATAAAGTAGAACAAATAATAGTGTTACGTTAAACACAGGATTAAAGGAATTTAGTAAAGTTAAGATATCACATTACAAATGATAATTCTATTATTAGCCATATTCTTGTACAATATAGCTAAGTTATTAGATGCATTTACTTCAAGATGTCTTGACAAATTATAAATGAAGTCTTTTATGCATACAATTCAAAATCTTGTTTATTACAAATTATATATTTTTATACCTAAAAATATGTCATTTATTAGGTTTTATAATATTGAAAGTTAAAATAGATGGCTTTTAAAATGATTCTATCACAATTATTTATTTATTAAGTAGCCCATAAACTACCATTATTTGCTCTATATATATATATATATATATATATATATATTAGGTATTTTTTAATATTCCTAACTTAAAAATCTTAAAGGCTTCAATTAGCAAGTCATATCATTCCTTTTGAACATGATTATATGCTACTACAACATCACTCTATCATTTAACAATTTGTGAATTGTCAATCTTTTGTTTTTATCAATTATTATTTTAGCTTCATATAAAACATGTCCATTCTTTGATTTTTTGATTTTGCTTTTAAAACTCTTAGATCAATGTTAAAATCAAAATATCAGTATAAGAAGCTTACTCAGAATGTAAACACCCTTTATTTAGATAAATTTGCAAACCTCTTATATATATCAAGATGATATATGAAGATAGGAGTAAGTTTTAAATTATATGATCTAAATCACACAATTAAACTTAGCTTTAGTAATCTATAAAATATGAATTGATAATTCATATTCAAACTTCCAAAAGGTACTTGTAGTCCAAAGGTTGTGGTTATGGAAGTAATGTCTAATATAGAACAAGATAATAAGCATAATTTAAAGTCTTACAAGTGTGTGAGATCCAAGCAAGAGCAAATCCAAATCAATAGTAGATTGCAACAAAGAATATGAATATAGCTAATACAATGATTCAACTAGTAGAATAAGATAGTAATCAAAGCGAGTTAATTACTATAAATAAAAACAAAGTAAGGTAAAGTCCATGTACTTTACTTTGTTTTAATATATATATATATATATATATATATATATAGATGTAAATTCATAAGTGTCAAACCTTGTTATTGACTTGATTTAATATAATATTAATAATTTATCTATAAGTTTGTAATGTAAAAAACAAAAAAAAAAGATTACACTTTTTTCTTTTGTTAAAATCTATAATTTTTTTAAAAATAAGCTTTATAAGCTCTTTATTCTTTTAATAGTCTATCTTTATAAAATTAGTAGAAAAAAAAGTAAAAAACAAGTCCAAAGTACTAATAATAATAATAATAAGAAAAATTAATTTACATAGATATCACATCTTTGAATTAAATTTGTAGTGTCTAAAATATTCTACATATTTTTTATATTAAATACATAACATACTTGATTTAAATTGACATCTTTTAAAAGAAGTTAATTCCAATTTATAGATAACACCACATATTTATAATCCTTTATGATAGTGTATTAGTCATTATGGTTATATTTTTATTAGCTTTAAAACATGTTTTATTGTATAATTTAGTTACTTCTATCTTTAGTTTAATATTTTATACTTGGATATTTTCTATTAATTCTATGTAATTCTAATTAAATAAAAATTATTTAAAATACTAAACTAGATAAAGAAATAAAATTACAAAAAACTAACATTTGAAAGAAATGACTTACATGAATTTTCATAATTATAGTTAATCAAATTTTAACTTTACAAAGTGATAAAATTCATTCATATTTTATAACCTTATGTTATATAAATAGATCTTATTTCTTAGATATTAATTTTCTTAACATTTATCTCTTTTAAATTACATGAAAAAATAATTGACGATTTAAGCAAACTTGCCTCTACTTGGATACATAAAGTGACTTTTAGAAATGATTACTTAAAACCAAATTAAAATTCTTTTAAATGCGCAAGTAAGATTCCAACAGAACATACCAAAATAAGACACTAATATTGTATTCTCATATATATTATATCTAAGGCTTTTACTTTAATGTATATAATTTTTATTATTAACAAATACCATAATAGATTGCATAATCCATTCAAAAAAATTTGCTAAAAGAAAAGAGTATATATATATATATATATATATATATAGATATATAAAAAATATTTTATCAAAAATTATAATTTCTACAAGTATTTTAAAAATCTTATTAGCTAATTTTATATGTTACATATATATTTTTAATATTTATGAATTTTTTTATTATTGAATATATATATATATATATATATATATGTATAAAGCTTTACAATGTCTATTAGAACAATTATCTACTCTATTTTGCTTATAAAAAAAACACGTTTTTAACTTGAATTTTATTCCAATCTTAAATCTTTATAATTGTAACTAAATTCATTTTACCTATGATTTTGCATTAAAAAATAAGACATTGCAATGCTGGATATGCTCTATGTCAGAAAAACTCTTTAATTTATTTTATTATTCTAATTCTATTGTTAATAAAGTTAAAACTTTTGTATCAAAGTTTCTTTTACATCTAAGAAAATAACTAATATACCAACAACTTGTATTAGGAATTATCCTTTTTCTATCCAGATTATTTTGAATTTTTTAAAATATATGCATTTTAAGATAGACTAATTATTTTGAAGAATATTTTTTAAAAAAATTAAAAGTTTAAAATATAAAATAATCATAAATTGCAATTCTTTGTGTAGATTCTATAATATGTTTTAAGGTCCTTCAAGTAGAAGTTAACGTTAAAAATATCAGTAGAAGTAGTTTTATTCAAGCCTTGCATTTATAATTTTAGAATATATTGTATAGTTCCCCAGGCTAAAATTGGACTTTAGTATATTTCTTTGAAGTAGTATTTTACATAGTTCATATTTTATATATCAACTTTAGAAACTTTTAACCATTTAATTTAATTTAACTTAATTTATTTTTATCACTTGATTTTTATTATATGCTTAATCCAATATTGAGAGAAATACATTGAATTAGTTTTAGTTTTTTGACAAAACATGTTCTTATTTTTTATTTGAATTAATTTGTTTTAGTATTATTAATTTTTCTAATTACAATTTAAATACTATTACAATGAAAAGTAATTTAAAGCTGTATGTTTTTAATGTTATAAAGTCAAGTACTTTGTTTATAGAAACGTTTCATATAAATTGTCTTATTTTCTGAAAATGACTAAAGAACTTTTAACTAAGTTAGAAATGTTAAAGATAATTTCTCTAGGATAGTAATCATAAGTGATATACTACAAAAACTGTATAGTACAACATTTTTGCTTAATAAAGATAACAATGGTTGTTTTATAAAATTTTATAAATCACAAGTTAAAAATTGACAAATATGAATATTTTGTAAGCCATCAAGACTATTACTATTTTTATGTGAGTAATAATTATCTCTTGATAAATAATATATCGACATCAATTTCTGTTCAAAAATAAAAATAAAATTGCATGATTTCTACTAATTTATTTAGTTATGACATTAAAAGTTAATTAATTGGTCCAAATTTTATATACATCTTGCCCATAGTGTTGCAAATTTCTATATAATAATACCAAAATATTGCATACAAATTATAAAAACCATATGTAAATTTTAGTTACTTTTATTATTATTAAAATTAGAATAAACATTGATTAATTTTCTATTCTCCCTCTTTTTCTTTACTAAACTCAGCTTGTCATTATTTTATACAATCTTTTATATTCTTGTTGTATTTTGTGTTTAAAAAAATATATCAATTGATATTTATTAAAAAATGTACTTAAATACTGATGCTAGTATAATAATTTAATTTTGATATACATTGCTATTATTTTGATAAAAAATGATTATTCACTTCTAAATTGGGCATTAAAAGTAAAAAGTTAGCATTAATATTTATCCAAATGAGGGATTTAGATAGGAATAAATTTTCCAATCTCTTCATAGAACTTAGCAGCTCATTGGCCAAACAAATTAAAAGTAGCTTAATTAGAAGTAGCATAAGGTAAAGAAAACATCAAAAAAAATGCATTGTTTTAAAATATTGTAACTTGGATTGACAAGTCTAAGAAAAAACAACTTGGTATTGACACCACTACTTAAATTAGAATTATAAACTTTATAAATACAAATGTCCACATATATTACATGTTGAGTCGTTTAAAGGCATAATTTTAAAATAAAACATAAGATTGTTAATAAAAAATAAGACTTTATTACCTACTACCTACTATCTACTTGTTCACTATTTTAAAGTTTAAAAACAACTTGAGATCAACAAATTAGGAACACAATTGTCTATAAAGATCCAATTTCTTTTATATAATAATTCATAGGATGTTTTTATTCCTATTTGGATGTTGTTTTGTAAAAAGTACTATTGATACTATGTTTAGAACTCTTTTCACATTACAATCTTCTAAACTAATTTTTTAAGACAAAAACCACATTATTTCTCCATCTTCTAATACGTTTAATTACATCCAAGATCCAAACAATATTTGAATCCTTTCTTTAAAATAGCAATAGCTTGTACTTTGAATTAAACGCCTCTGTCTCAATCTTCTATTCAATGAAACAATTTGCCACAAGATGACACATTAGCTTGGGATGTTATTGGGAGAGAGGAAGGGTACAAGATTCCACAAACCAAATTCGCCCACAAAACGGTTTTGCAGTTGATCATTCACGACACAAATTCCATGGAGTAAAGACCTCTGTATTTACTAACCAGCAAGGGCTAAACAAGAGTTTTTAATGGAACAACAATCCGAATAACACTGACTTATTGTGCTTCGCCCGGCTCAGTATTGTATGCGTATTTAAGAACAACACAGCTTCCATCTCACAGATAAAATGCTGCGTGGAATTTGGAGATGCACAGAATCCTGATGTAGAATCCGGTTGAAGTTCTCTCATCTGTACCATCACACATCCAAGTTGCTGAAGATATTCCTATTTTCCTTGCCCTGGTATTTTCTAAACTTGACTTGTGAGGGTTCTTTCCCCAATGAACACTCAATTGCTGAAGTTTCTGAATTCTAAATTAGTCCGGATGACAGCCTGATCACGGAAGTTGGTGACAAAGAACTTCGTCCAGGAGTCACTCCTGACTATGTGAGTTGTGACTGAGAGAGAGTTTTCAGTAGAAACTTACAGAAAAAAACAAAAAAAAATACCCAAAAAATCAAAACATGATTGTACAACCTGGAGCAGATTAACAGGGTTTAAAGCTCGGAGGAGTTGAAACTGGCTTCCGCGGTGCCTTCACGAATGGACTCCTCCATCTTTGCACCTGATGCCTTGAAGCCTATTGTTTCACCTTCTCCTCTGGCTGTGGGAGGACGTGCAGTTATCCTCTTTCTGCAAGCGTGACACAACAAGAAATCGATCTTTCAGCTTCCATTTCCTGGCAGTGAAGAATGAAGTTACCTCTTGGCAGAAAGAGTTTGTGATTCGGACAGGGACGAGGGAGTTTAACAAGACCATTGTTGAGATAATTTGCAAAATGCGTCTCGGGATTGTTGCATTTTCTGTGGCAGAATGTTACAAGAGACAACTGACCTCATGGTGTAGCCCTTCTCTGGCTCAGGAATGAAGTGGGGGCCCTCGTCCCAGCCCTCGCATGTGATCTCTCCATCTTCGTTAACGTAGCACACAATTCCATTAGACTCATCCTTGAACACCTGATCAGAGTACAAAAGGGTTAGTGAGATTTTTTTTTTGAAAGAGCTGATCTCTCTCGTTCTCTCTCTTCTACCATCATCTAGCCGAATCAATCAATGTAGTGGGAGGAAAGTGCATAAGCGTGATGTTCAGAAAGAAATTCAGGCTTAAGATAAGTTCTGTTCATGTAAACTTGCTCTGGGAGGTTTCGATGTGAATTCTTCATCATGAGACGCCCGAAGATGTTCATTTCTGCCTGCACTAGCCCGGCAGTTCAAGGAAGGTCGACATTGAGAAGGAGAGCTTTTGACGATGGATTTGGAAGTAAGGAGAATCGGTGATGAATACTGTGGCAGGCACCGTTGCAACAACGCCATTCTCTCAAGGTTTTAAGCAGTCGGTGAGAAGCTCAAATGACTTGACCTCGATTCAGTTACACCTGCGCTGGAGAAATCACATGTGTCACACAACAGCAAAATTCCTGACCGCAGGAAACTCTTTGAAACTCTGCCTTATTCTACGAAACTGAGAGATTTACTCGGAAGTCGATTGATCATAACGGCACTCATGAATCTAATCTCTTGCAGTTCCTTTGAACTACTCTACATCACCCAATTCGCTCGTTCTGCGTGTGTAATCGGAGAAATCTATCAACCGCCCTGTCACATTAGACAAAAAATTCAGAAAAAGCTACTTTCAAAATCAAATAACCCTTCTTCCAGTCATTTGTTCTCTTAGACAACAGGGGAGCAGGAGAGCCGTCAGCGAGAATTTGTCACCATCACACAACCCATCACATCTCTGTGGCCGAATGGATTAGATCACGATCTAGAAACCTCATAAAACCAGGAGTCGGTGAGAAAGTGTCCATCAGAAAATCCACACCGACTCACCAATAATTGCCGTCAGTGCACAGGAAGTTATCAAAACGGGCAATCAGTAAACTGTAGCGACACTGTAGGTCCTGTTTCGAGGGGAAGGAAAACCTGTAGTGGATGTGCAGGGGGAGAATGAGGCAACGGACTTTTGTCTTGAGCTAGTTGCGGCGTGAGCTCGAGGAACAGTGCAAAACACTCAGAACTGCTTCACTCGAATACAAGCTCAAACAAGATCCGAAGACTTTTGTAATGACAGAAGAAACATAATCGCCGCTCGTGTATTTTTAAACTGAATCTCACACCATATATTATAATAAGGTTTCTGGAAGGGTCACCTCGAACTGGGCAGCCCAAGCCGAAGGGGCAAGCGAAGACTCAAGCAAGTAAATCCCCCCCCCCCCCCCCCCCCTACGTCAAACATGACACCAGTTGAAGGTAGTTTTGATAAAATCTAATTCCTATTTCATCTGCATGACGTTGACTATAAACACACTCTCCCGAATAATTTGAAGCAAATGAAATCAGATAAAAGACCCATTTTGTAAAGCCTTTCACATTCACAGATTGAAGTAAGTCCTGTAAAACGTGCGATATCTGTGGGCTACTGCAACCTGTGGGTGAAACTGGGAACAATCCTTCCCATCCAAATTGATGAGTGTGGATTACTTGAGGCATTGTCTAGGCAGAACTTGTTTCAAAACGCATAATCAAGAGCAACTTGAAGAAAACTTGTGCTGAGGCGGTGAATTTTCACCCGAGGGGTTGTTTTTTTTGGAGTGAATTAGATATTCTATCAGCTTTGCTAGGCATAGGTAGCTTAACTGCGGGAAATGCAGATTCGCATGCTTTCCTATCATGTACCTGGCGGCAGTTATGGACCACATACATGATGACTATATTTAACGGCGATTTCGACACATGATTCTGCAGACCACAGAAGGAGCTCCAAAGGTGCCTCTCGTGGCACCGAGATATCCCAATTGCTGTCTTGGCCTTAACAACTGCCACAGATTAGCTGATTTTCAACCTCGTGACAACTGCAGGAGTTCCCTGGTGGGCTAGCCATGTCAATGTGTCTTTTTAGTGTAAAGCTCATTTTCTGAAGGGCCAAGTAGTAGGAGTGTTGCAAAGTCTCTTGCCTGCCGCAGGATGAGATTTGCTATGGGACACGGTCACCCAGCGATGGAGGTGCACAAGCCTGATGGGTTGCTTCGCATTCAATCCTTGTGGGCCGCGAGTGGGAATCTGTGTCAGCTGGCAGTGTCGACATTGCTTCCACGACACTTCTTCGACGAAACGACACCGCTGATTTCCAGTCTTGTCAATGATTCCTCCTCCCATCAACCCTCAATCTATACTGCAAATCCATCTCTCACTCTCTCTCTCTCGCTCCTGATATCGATACACTCCACAGCATCTGCATTCTATCGACACTGAGCATCAAGCTTGCATCTCCTGCAACACGACTACTGTGTAGCAACTTGATCGACAACACAATAAAACCACTGCATTGGGTAAATTGAGTACTGAGTGAGAGGTGCAACGATGAGAGGTGATGGAATTCTTTTGTCATTTGGCAAGAATAGTTAAGAATGTTTGCATGCTTGGAGTAACATAGTTCTCTATTTACATGTATAATTGTGTAATTCTACTTTTACAACATGAATTAGAACATGTGAAAAGACATGTTAGGAAAGAGATAAAAGGAAAAAAATCAATAGTCAAAAGAGCTACTTGATTGTTTAATCGTGTGAAGACAACAAATTCCATTTATGTCAGTAAAAGTAATGTTCTTAGGATTTAGCACTTATATGATCAAAAATTATTTCTACACATAAATATTAATATTGTAGTGTTCTAATATATATATATATATTTTATTCAAAATGACTTTAATGTAACTTTACTTGAACTTAAAAGTGAATTTGATGGTTGAGATGGTTGATGTTCTAATTCATGCTAATAAGTTGAAAATGTTTTTTTTTTTTTTTTTTTTTTTTTTTTCTTTTCTTTTCTTTTATTTTATTTTTAATTTTGAGGTATTTTTTTTCAAGTTAACTACTTAAATTACCATGGTGAATAATTGTTAGTAATTTCTATAAGTTTAGTTTAAGCTTAGTATTGAACATTCATTTCTTTTAAGTATTCTTGTGTTCAAATTTGTAATGATACTTCAAACCGCAAATATATGCAGTTCTTGCAAAAAAAAAAAAAAAAAAAAAAAAAAACAATTTGTACTTGAAATTATGTTATATAAATTATCATGAAACATAGAATACATGTAACCAAAAGAAAAATAAGAATCTAATTGAAAACTTGAGCCACTTCTAGTGGATTATAAATAGGTTAATAAAAAAATTTCTACAATAAATAATTAAAATCTGCTTTCATGAATGTCTAAGCAAATAGGTTACTGAAATCCAAAAAAATCTAAGAAAAAATATAATCTTAATTTAAAACAAATGAATCAAGTTTAGATTATGCCTACAAAATCCAAAAACAACTATTTAGATTCCTTGCAATACTTAATAAGCATTCTTTCATAGAGCTTATAGAAACAAAAAATATATTTTTAAGGAACTTAATAAAATAAGATATGTAGTATGTGTGTAGATATATTTGAAGTTATATGGATGTTCATGGAAAATAAATTATGCATGTGTTGGTGAATATATATAAGAAAAATTATTCAAATATATGATTTTTTTTAAAAATTGAACATGGAATTTTTAAAATTGGAATTTGAAGACATTTAAAACAGAAAAGATGAGCCTTTTAATATAAGAGAGTGCAAGAATTTATTGCTTAATTATAAAAGAATGGTGGAAAGAAGTGAAAAAGATTGTTAGATGTATTATATATATTTTGCGACTAATGTTGGAAGATTTATTTTAAATTATTGTAAAAGCAAAGAAATTGTTGATAACCTATTCAAGACATTAGCAAATAATTGCATTAATGCAAAGTAAAAATAAGGGATAATTTTTTAAAAAATACTATTAAATTTAGAGTGATTTTTTAAGGAAGATTATTAAGTTATTAAAAAAAAAGATTAAGTGGAAAATTAGAGCTTTGAAGGTGCAACCAATTTGATCCATGTATTGGAAAGAAATCAAGCAAGATGAAAATGAATTAAATCAAAGGTTATGCATTGAAGTAAATAAGGTACGTAAACATTCAAATGAATATAAGTTGATCAATTATATATCAAATTAGCAAAATTACATCTATTAGTTCAAAAATAAAACTATGGATATTCTGAAAATTCTTTTGGAATTAATTAATTTTAAATTTGAAAAAACTCGAATAATCTTAAAAAGTGATAAAAGAATAGATGTCTTTATAATAACATGCTTGAGTTTTAAAAACAATACAAAACATTAAGATCTTAATACAATTGATATCATTAAAAAAGAAGCTTATATCTTATTAAGATGAAATCATTTATATATCATCAAAGTATTAAAATATAGTTATATTAAATTAAAGATTTTAAAAAAATATTTATAAATATTACTTTAAAAAAATTGATATGATAATAAAAATTACTAGTATATATTTAAATTATAAGTTAAGAGCCAATCTAAAAGATTTAAATGAAAAAAAGATTCTTCAACTTAGAATTTGAAAAGAACATCTTCAAATTGATTTTTCTATAAAAATTCTTAGTCCATTTTGAGGATTGTGCTTTCTTTGATTCATAGTTACAATCTTTGTGTGTCATATATCTTGAAAGACTCAATGTTTTTAATTGATACAAATATGTATATTTATTCTGATATTTACTTATATGATTAAGTAGAAGTAAATAAAAATAAATTTATTTCATAATATTTTCTACACAAGCTTTCTAGAAGCTTTATAGACATTTTTTTGATTTAATATATATTTGTAGTTGATTGATAGGCTAGAAACTTGGTCAACAAGTTAACCACATATTGATAGCTTATGGAACAAGCTAACCATGTGGCATTCATATAGAAAATTTACCTTATAAATTAAGATACATATTTTGCAAAGTCAACATATTTTTGAAGTCCTTTAGATCATCGCCATATAGCTCTTAATTAAGAGTGTATATTGAGGCAAGAATAAAACCTTCTTCACTCTTGTCAACACCTTTCTAGTCTTTAGTCTTATTTCAAGACTTTCTAGTCTTCTTGTCTTTGGCAATAGCCATTCTAGTTTAATATTATATCATCTTTCAATAATTTTTTTAGTCTTTTCAAGTGATATGAGAGTGTATTGACATTTTAGTTCTTTGAGGTTCATCTCCTTAAGAATTTAATAAGAGTTCTAACTTATTATTCTTATCTTATTTTAGAAGTGAGTAAATTATCCCACTTCTATTGTTGTATTTTGAAGGTTGTAGATTATCCACCTTTAAATAAAATATTTAATTTTCTAACATCAATTTTTTTCCTTAAAGAGAGCACATTATCCCTCTTTGTGAATTTTTTTTATTTGATATTGAAGGTTGTAGATTATCTTCTTCTAATTTGATTTACATATTTATTAAGTTATTTGAAATAGAAAGAAAAATTATTGATGATCGACTTAGTGGAAGTAAAAATAGGTTTGTAACTATTACAAATCTTCACGAACTTGTCAATAATCTTAGAATAGAAATTTTATACATTACCAATACCAACCATAGAAACAATAATTATACACCTATGAAAGAAGTTTAGAATCTATGACAAGAAGTTTTGTAGTTGAAGGAAATAAGTAGATTGACCTTACAACCAAATCTAAAATTTTTTTCTTCTATAAATATGATAGAGACAAGAATTTGTATGCTCAATAAGTTTGATGGAATAAGATCAAAATTTTGAAGATTTTTGTAATAAATTAAGTTTTATCTAAGAAACATTGAAATAATATATTTCTCAAGCTATTATATGTGATCATTGATTATTTGAAAGGCATCAAGAACAAAAACTTAGATAGAGAGGAACAAACCAAGTAATGATGGCAGCTTTTAAGTTTTTAGAAATTTATTTATTAAGGCCAAAACCAATAAAATTTGATATGATATGTTTTGAACTCCTCATTGAGTAAGAAAAGACTTGACATTATCAAAAGGATTTGTACTTATATTGTGGAGAAGCTAAGGACATTATTCAATATTCTCCAAAAAAGTAATGTAATCACAAAATAAAGAGTATGATTTCCAAAGGAAACAATACATTGGAAAATAATTTTTTCCAGCTACAATAGGAACTATATGAATAGAATCATATACAACATCTAAGAAAGACTATCAAGGACTTAATAAGATCACTATCAAGAATTGATATCCTCTATCTTTGATTTCAAGACTTCTTAACCAACTCAATTAAGCAAAGTTTTATACAAAAATAGATCTATGAGGAGCATACAACCTGATCTA